GTATAAGCATTGTCTGTGATGTAAACGAAGTCTTCAATATTTGGAGAAAACATCTCCTCATATTTGGAAGCCAAGAGCAGAGCTGTAATCCCAACCAGCTGAAGCTTCTTACGAGAAACCGGCTGAACCTAATTGAAGAAGAATGTGTCACAAGTCCTACCTAACGAGAGGCCCGGGACTCGGGGTGGAAGGAAGGGAGAGGGAACCACATCCTGGAGAAGTACACGTCGTCTCTGCTCACACCCATCCTACAAGCACAGGGAACATCTGTGGTAAGAGTAGGTACCATCAAGGGTCCCTGGCTGACTCAGTTGGTGGAGCGTGTGACTTCATCTCGGGGTTGTGATTTGGAGCCCCACATTGGGTAGACAGATTACTTAAAAATAAAATCTTTAAAAAAAAAAAAACAAAACAGGTACCATCACTACTCCCAGCAGCGGTCTGTTATTTGAGTATTCAGTACATGGTGGGCACAGTGTTAAGATGCCAACAATCATCTCATTCAATCCTTGCAAAAATCCTAGGAAGTGCATGTATTTTCCCCTACTTGCAAAGAGGTGACCTGAGAAGAGATTCGGACACCGGCTCCAGATCACTCAATTGCTCAGTATGGAAGAATTATGCCTGAGAACCAAGTTCCTAGTCTGCTCCAGCCCTGTCATCCTGGCTTGAGTGTCTGGGGGCAGCCCCAACATGGCATTCAACAACATGTCTGCATCAAGATGAGGCCCAGCCAAACAGCAGGATTTAATAATGGATGCCTAGGGATGAGGAAGGGGGGGGTCTCTCAAACACTTCCTTAATCCTTACCAAAAGTACACTCATTATTCAGTGTTAAGAATCTCCAAAGAGGCTCTAGAGTCGGGGAAAATCTCAGTTCAGGATGTAAGTGTTTCCCTTAAATTCCCTTTTCTTTTAAAAGAGACTTTGCAGGGCACCTGGGTGGCTCAGTCATTAAGCGTCTGCCTTCGGCTCAGGTCATGATCCCGGGGTCCTGGGATCGAGCTCAGTCATTAAGCGTCTGCCTTCGGCTCAGGTCATGATCCCGGGGTCCTGGGATCGAGCCCCATGTTGGGCTCCCTGCTCAGCGGGAAGCCTGCTCCTCCCTCTCCCACTCCCCCCTGCTTGTGCTCTCTCTCTCTCGCTGTATCTCTCTCTCTGTCAAATAGATTTTTAAAAATCTTAAAAAAATAAAAAAATAAAATAAAAGAGGCTTTGCTTTCCTTGCTTCAACTCTCATTATTGAAAATCTACCTAAAATATAACTGCTCTCCTACCCAGTGAGGAATGTATAATGCAAACCACTGAATCTATGCTTTCTTAGGATTCTGCATTATCTCAGGGTCATTATTATAATAATCACCATTATTACTGTACTGTTGGGGCAGAATTTGTACCTGAGCTGTATCATAAATGTTGACTGGAAATAAACAAATCCCAATCTGCAGGGCTCCTGGCTGGTGTACCACACACGAGTGCTTTCTGTCTGGCGTTTCTTCTAAGTGGTCAGCATTTTGTGTCACCAGGCGACAACTATTTCCATGACCACTCTCTCAGCTCAATCTCTTACATTCCTCTGCTTCAGACCTCCCATTCTCAGTACACTGCCCACACATACCCCCGACCCCTTTCTTAACAATTCTGCCTCCTCTCTTTTCTACACAGATTCACGCCATAGCTGGCTGGAAACTGCCAAGTTCTCTAGCCAGACTCCTCATTTTTCAGACAAGGAAACCTAACCAAGGATTACCAAACTACGAGCCACCGGGAAGTCATGGAAGCAGGTCTGGAAAACCAGCACCCGCGGGCACCACAGGCTTCGGGCTGACCGTCAGACCTCCTGCTGGTATGTTTGCTTGGAGGAACGACTGGCCGCGCAGTGCCAAGCCCCCGACCCCCCAGCACTTTTCGGCAGGCTGACCTAGCAGAAACGCCCAGCAGCGGTCAGCATCACCAGAGGTGGGCTACACCTGGCTACTTCTCCCTCTAGCCGCTCAAGTTCCTTGGTTTCTCACCAAGTGGCTTTTGATCTTTTCTTCAGGTATCACCCTTTGGTATTGCAGAATGCCATTACAGTGAGCCCCCGAAGCCACGCTCACCTGTAAAAATCGGTCCATGATGGCGACGCACATGTACAGAGTCTCCTGAAGCAGCCTAAACTTGGAGTGGACTTGCACCAGCCAGTCCACCAGGATGGCACGCATGCGTCCGTTTATCTCTCTTCCATCTAAGAAGTGTGGATTTATGGATTGCAGAACCTGTTGGCAGAATTCAAAGTTTTAAAAGCTGACCTCATTTCCTTCCCAGCTGTATGGTAAATGCTGCATCGCTTGCACAACCAAAACACAAAGGCCCACTCACCTCGAGCTGCCGTAGATACTGGTAGATATCCTTAACGTAATCGCTGCAGAGCTGAGGGTTCTCCCAGTCCTCACGATCAATGTCCTCGATTTTGCAGAGCAAGGCATCAGAGAAAGCTTGGCAGAGAGTCTCTTCCTTCATGGAGATGTCCTCCTGTGGGGGGGAAGGACCCTACATGAACGAATTAGCGTGCATGCATCACTACCTTGGCAGTAGCCTGAATTGTTAATCAGAGCCAAGTAAGAGCAGAGTCAACTGGTTTAAAAGTATCATCTGCATTTTTAAAATACGTGAAAGCCAAAACAAATTTCAGAGTAAGGTGAATAATTCAAGATGTAGTAGATGAAGTTTTTAGAGATATACTCCTCTGTTTAAAATTCTCTAATTTCAGGGCGCCTGGGTGGCTCAGTCGGTTAAGCGGCTGCCTTCGGCTCAGGTCATGATCCCGGGGTCCTGGGATTGAGCCCCGCCTCGGGCTCCCTGCTCAGCGGGGAGCCTGCTTCTCCCTCTCCCTCTGCCTGCCTCTCTGCCTACTTGTGCTCTCTCTCTCTCTGTCAAATAAATAAATAAAATCTTTAAAAAATAAAATAAAATTCTCTAATTTCACTCCAAGGGAAAACCTGAGTCCTCACGGTGGCCCGGGGGCTTGCGTGACCAGGTTTTGCCCTGTTCCTCTGCTGACCCATCTCTCTCTCTCCCCTCGGTTTGCCTCATGGCAGCCTCCCTCACCGCAAGCCGGCTCCCTCTTCCCACAATGCTCTTGCTCTTGCCCCTGCACCCCCATGGGCAATTCTCTCATCTTCAAGTTTTGTTTAGATGTTACCTTCTCAATTAGGTCTATCCTGACCCCTGTTTTAAATTACCATCTGGCCCCTATTGCCCCCTCTCCACACGCATCATTTCTCTTACTGTGTTTTTCCCCCGTAGAACCTGTAACCTTGTAACATACGGTGGAGTTTACTTATATATGCTGTATATTATTTTCTGTCTACCTCTGCTAGACTGTCAGCTCCGCAGGGCTTATGGAGCTAGCAGAGGTAGAAAATATTTATAAATACATTTATAAATAAATACATTTATTTAAACTGATTTTGTCCCCTACAGCATCTCAAATGTCTACATCATCCCTGACACATAGTAGGTGCTCAGTAAATATTGAGTGAAAGAAACTTAAACACCTGGGTGCAGAAACTCTTAGAGCTGTAGGTTCACTTCAGCTGTAGCCTCTCCTGTGGGTATACAGATTTCCCCTCATAAACTAATTTATTCTAAATTGAGAAACAGGCAACTAAAAAGCAGAAAAGCACATTCCGGCCTATGAATAAAATAGAAGGAAGCAAAGACCGAGCAAGTACACACCCAGTATTTTCTTATGCTGACTGGGTGACTATAAAAAAAAAAAAAAAAAAATCACACAAATTAAAAATTTATAAAGTAAGTTAAAACAAGTGTTTAGTAATGAAGTGTAAATAACCCATTACTTTTTAAAAGAATAAGAGGTACTTCTCGAAGTAAAACCTAACAAGCCTACTAGGCTATAAAGACCATGTATTAAAGAAATAAAACATAGAAAGAGAGAAGGCTGTATAATAAACAATTTTAGTGGACATTAAAGCTCAGTGATGACAGTTTCCAGGCTTAAGGAAGGATGAAACAACAGCAGCAAAATATATATAGCAGTTCAAAACCCATCCTTCCCTCCTACATCAGTTCTCAAACTGAGGGAGGGCCAGCTGAGCAAGAGTCATGCAGGTATACGTGCCATTTATTCAAGAACTTCCGAACCTCAAGGGACTAGCATGAATAAGAGCTACTTGGGGCACCAGGGAGAAACCTAGATAAGGTTACCAGAGAGGGTAAGACCTCAAGGAAAATGAGTGGGCAAAAGGTAGCAAGTACAAAGTCCCGGAGGAAGCCAAGAAACAAAGAAACAAAGCCTGGGAAGTGCACGTTGATTTGGGATGGCAGGAGCTAGTGCGTGACGTGTGAGAAGATGGGCTGGAAAGGTGAGCGAGAACCCGGCTAAGGAGTTTACATTTTCCCCGAAGGGAAGGGAATCCACTGAAGGAACTGATCAAGAGTGGCAAGAATCAGAGGCGCCTGGCTGGCTCAGTTGGTACAGCGAGCAACTCTTGATCTCGGGGTTGTGGGTTTGAGCCCCATGTGGGGTGTAGAGATTACTTAAAAATAGAATCTTTTTAAAAAAAGAGTGACTAGAATCAGATGTACATTTTAATGAGCACATACAGCTAGGTTAAGTTCAAGGATAAGCATCATCAGTGTCCCCGGGAAATGCAGTCAGTACTGGGAAGCCTGGTTTAAGGAGGCAGAGGTTATGGTCATGCGCTATGTGTGCTGCCTCAGCAGCTTGAAATGTTTACCCGTGTCTATTCAGAGGTACCCCTGAGGTTAGCCATATCCCAAAGCTACCAGGAGAAGGCATGGATCATTGCTCTGGCCCTTAATTTTAGAATTTCTTAAAAGCATTCCTCTTGGGCTCCCACGTAATTTAATTATTATAAAATCCTTCCTAAGATCCCACTGTCTGTGCAGGTAGTAGCCTAAGCCCTTTGGGCGAACCGTGTAATCCTCTGTCCAGTGTCTGTTGCGTGCAAAGCTAAAAGTTTTCTCAGCTAGGGGGCGCCTGGGTGGCTCAGTTGGTTAAGCGACTGCCTTCGGCTCAGGTCATGATCCTGGAGTCCCGGGATCGAGTCCCGCATCGGGCTCCCTGCTCAGCAGGGAGTCTGCTTCTCCCTCTGACCCTCTTCCCTCTCGTGCTCTCTCTCATTCTCTCTCTCAAATAAGTAATTCATGTATTTAAAAAAAAAACTTAAAAAGTTTTCTCAGCTAGTTAACCATCACAAACTCGTGGATGACAAAAGTGGTCTGAGAATAAAAACCTTCCAATTAGATTAATGAATGAGTTCTGTCAGTTGTCAGAGACAAGTGAAAAGTCATATCAGAAACAATAAATGTGAGGTTTTGCTGCGCTTCAGAAGCTCCAGTTTGGTAAGGAGCAGGGCGGAGTCTGAGCTGAGTGTGGTGAGAGAATGTACGACTATTAATATGCAAACATGTAGGTGTCTGTGCAAGTTTTTGGTAACCAGAGTTCCTTTATTTACCAGATTTATAATAAACAATGTCAATTAAGTGCAACAAGAAAGGACTCCCAGAAAAACTGTTGTTTCCAATTAGTTCATGATTTGTAGGAGTTAAGTGTGTACTTGTGCAAACATAGGCACACACAATTATAGAAAGGCAAAATCATTTACTGGAATAGCTTTAGGGAATACAGTGAAATGGAATTTAGAGGGTAAGGAGAGTAGTAAAAATAAACTGACTTTCTATTCTATGTACTTGATATATTTCTGTAGTATTTTGCTTTGTTATGACTAGGTTTCTTGTGTGATTAAAAATAAAAGGCATTCTTTTTAAAAAGAAACGTGAAAAGTTGTGCTTACTTCCCCTTTATACATAGTTTTTGTATTAGGGATAGTTAACTATAAAACATTCTCATGGTTGAATGACTACTGTAGAGGCATTTTTAGGCAACAGGCTTGAGTAGTGGAACTTGGGGCCCACAGCGACCACCGAGCTGAATGCCAACAGGCTCATTAAGCAAACCACCTGGAAAGAGCCATAGGCACAGGTTCCGAAGATTAACCAGAAACGGGAAAATTCCATACATTCACACCCTCCCTCGTCCCACCCCGTACCTGTGGCCCCTCACCACCCGCTTCTGGCAGACAGTCTCTCCGTTGCTGTCCTGCCCACAGCTCCCTGGTCAGTAAACGTCGCTCTCTTTTGTTCTGCCATGGGTAAATCCTTTCACCACACACGCCGCTGGCCCCCACCCAACTGGCACCCCACATTTGGTGGCCCCCCATCTGAAAAGAGCGTCCCACAACTATCACTGAATTTAGTGTTTAGATCAAATCTGTAAATCTAAAACTTCATCTGAATTTCTAGCTCTGACTGCCAGCACCTCTCCAAAGTGTGCATCTATCTCTGCCACAGCCTATTAGAACGCGTGCTCGGGCATTTCTCCATTTGGCTGGGGGCTCCTTGAGGACAGAGTCTGTGGCTCATTCACCTGATTTCTCCAGTGCCCAGCAAACCAGGGGGCTAGGAAAAAAACTTTCTCCTTCCTTTCGCATGCAACTCAGTGTTTACCAAAGCCTCATTGGTCAGCAAAAAAATAAATAACAACAAAAACAGTTTCCTCTAAAAATTGCAGGATAATCCGCTTCTGTAAACACCTGTGAATGGCTGAAACCCTTTCAAGTTCTCAGCCAGAGCCCTTTGTGACTCAGCTGCAAACTCTGGTTTTGCAGAGTATAGTAAATGGATTTGGCTGGGAACATCTGCTTTCATGAGCACATGGCTTATAAATTTTCCAGGGCTCAATGTTGCTAGAACCCTGTGCTCAACTGGCATTGCCACATCCCCAGGGACCAGCTATAAAGGAGCAGCAATGACTGCAGATAGAGCAGATGACAAAGTAAAAGCCAGATGGCTGACCAGAGCCAGGCAAGCAGAGGGGCTCATCTGCCAGGAGGAGGAGCTCCCCCTAAACTGGGGACTTAATGATCTCTTCTGTACTACGTTTCTCAGAGAAAAGTGTATTTGAATTGGAAGTAATTATTGTTCATTAATCCCTGATGTCTTCTAAAACTAGCCGCACATTTCAGCCACGGAAGTGATACTTATATGAATGGAGTTACAGGTCCATCATTCTTTATCTGAAACACAGTGGCCTCAAATTTGTCAGGAAGCTAAGGCAAAAGGAGTCACCAAGGAAAGGTGGAGTAATTCAGAAAGAGATGCAGAAGTCACAGGAGGAAATTTCTCCTTTGTTTTGTTCATAACATTTTTTGTTGTTTTAATTTGCCTTTTTCCCTTCTTTCTGATTGGAAATGTAATATGTACCTAAGGTGAAAAAAATCTGAAATTTTTTTATTTTTTTAAAGATTTTGTTTATTTGACATAGACAGCAAGAGAGGGAACACAAGCAGGGGGAGAGGGAGAGGGAGAAGCAGGCCTCCCACAGAGCAGGGAGCCCGATGCGGGGCTCGATCCCAGGACCCCGGGATCATGACCTGAGCCGAAGGCAGACACCTAAAGACTGAGCCACCCAGGCACCCCAAAATCTGAAAATTTTAAGGAGGAAAATGAATCTTAAGCCCAAGATAATTCTCAAAAATAACTACCATCAAATTTTGCATATAAATTTTAGGGGCACCTGGGTGGCTCAGTCGGTTAAGCATTCAACTCTTGATTTCAGCCAGGTCATGATCTCAGGGTCATGAGATCAAACTCTGCACTGGATACAGAGCCTGAGTAAGATTCTCTCTCCCCCTCCGTCTGCCCCTCCCACCCCATCCCAGGCCTCCCCGCCCCCCACACGCACGCACTCTCTCTCTCTGAAAAATAATTAATTTTTTAAAAAAAGGAAATCTGGGCTTGTACTGCATTCTATTGTGTTATAATCTGATTTTTCTACTAATGTAACATACATTTTGACATTTAAATATTCTACCAAAACATGATATCAATGGTCCATGTATTTTCATTAAATGGATTGAAGTTGCTCCGGTAATTCCACTACTGGGTATCTACCCAAAGAAGACAAAAACACTAATTTGAGAAGATATATACTCCCCTATGTTTACTGCAACATTATTTACAATAGCCAAGATATGGAAGCAACCCAAGCATCTATCCACAGATGAATATAAAGAAGATACGGTATATATACAATGGAATATTACTCAGCCCCTAAAAAAGAATGAAATCTTGCCATTTGCAACAACATGATTTGATCTAGAGGGTCTAATGCTAAGTGAGACAAATACCATATGATTTCACTCATATGCGGATTTTAAGAAACAAAACAAACGAACAAAGGAAAAAAGAAAAGACAGGGGCACCTGGCTGGCTCAGTCAGAAAAGCATGTGACTCTTGATTTCAGGGTTGTGAGTTTGAGCCCCATGTTGGGTGTAGAGATTTCATACATAAACAAACTTAAAAAAAGGAAAGAAAAGGAAAAAAGAGACAAACCAAACCAAACCGCCTCTTAAATATAGAGAAAAAACTGGTGGTTGCCATAGGGGAGTTGGGTAGAGGGAATGGGTGAACTAGGTGAGCACTGAGTCATGTACAGGGTTGTTGAATCACTATGTTGTACACCTGAAACTAATGTAATACTGTATGTTAATTATACTTGAACTTAAACAGATAGATTTAACCAAACTTCTAATATTTCTCTATTACCTAAGAGATATTCATTACAGCACTATTTAAAAATCCTTGGTGTGCCTCTAATAATTTTCTTAGGATAAAAAAACAGATTTACTGGGTATGGAGAATAACCTTTTGAAAGACACTGCCAAATCGCCTTCCATACATGTGGGAGGAACCACATTCAAACTGTCACCCCTATCAAATGCTGCACAATGGTTAAGAGGTCAAAGATGAAAAGCTGCTTTGGTTTGGCATTTAGGCACTAGAAACCTCCAAGGAAAGGCCTATAAAAGCAAGGTCGATCTTCAGGATTTGTTCTGAGCTTTTGTTCTTGATTTGATGCTCTCTGCCCTGCCTTAGGAAAAGCAACATGCTTGCAACCATCACCTGCAAGCAGAAGGCTCCCATGTCTGCCCCTCTCCTTCAGATGCTGCTGGCAATATTTCTGAGTGCCTTTCCCCATGGAGGTTTCTCTCTTACCTCAACAAATCTAAAGCCAAATGAGATGCCTTCCCCAGAACTATCTCCCTTCCCTGACTTGCCCATTTCTTTAGTAATTTATTGCATAAATGGTTTCTTAAATACTCAAGGGCTTGCTTAAGGCTCTGCAAACAACACAGCCAAAGAATTCCTTCTAAATACAGGACAATGTCCCTGGAACCAGTTGGTACACCCCCAACACATTCCGTGTGGTTTCTTAGCACCCTATAGATAGTGGTATGTGAGTGAGTGCTTAGGGGAGATCCAGGCTAGTTCAAGACCCTCGTCAGCTCTTGCTTGACAATTGCAATGCCTCCTCATTTATGTCCCTCCCAAGGCCAGCCTACACTGCTTTCATCATTTCCCACCTCCTCAAAACTTCCACAGGTTTCTCACTGCATAATGGGATAAAATCCAAATTCCAAGGCCTTCAAATCCAACTGCAACCTTTTCCCCAACTTTATGTTTTGCTTATTCCCACAAACCTTCTGACCCAGCTTAGATGTGCTGACTCCTTAGCCCAAGGACATTATAGGTCTCTTTCTGCTTTGGTGCCTTGATTCCTGCTGTGCTTTGTTCCCCCAAAACAGTGTTCTTTCCTATCAGCATCTCTCTATCCTTAAAATTCCCACTGATTCCATGAAGTTTCCCCTGACCACTTCACCCCTTAGTGTTCTCTCCCTCCTGTCGAAACACTTTCTGAAGGATGGTGCTTCCATCTACCCCAGACATTTGAAGCTCAATCATCCATTGTTCAGGGACATCTGGCATCATTCCCTGGGACTACTAATTTAATTTCAGGTGCATGTGTCCCTTCTGGATAAGTCTCCTCAAGGCAAGATATCTCTTTAACAGCCTTAACACTACTGGCTGGGCATAGTAAGTGCTCAATATATATATTTCTTGAATATATCCAATGTATTATTTTCAAAATTTTTAAACAAGTTATAGACATTAATGTATATTAGAGAGAGAAAGAGAGAGAGAGAGCACACAAGTGCGGGCGCTGGAAAGAGCAAAGCAGTTATTGTATTCTCAGCACCTACCACAGTGCCTGTCCTATAGTAATTACAGGCCAATGGGTCCATCAGCATTCTAACTCCAACTGAGTTAAGCAGTCACAGAGACCACAATTTATCAACACAGAATTTTGGCATTACCTTGTTCCTACATGATGAGTACGAGTCTCAGAACTGTGAGATTTCACAGCCTTCATGGGCAAGCTCATTCTTATAATGGATTATAAAACCGACCAAATTTCACTTTGAGATCACTAAATTTATTTGACTATCAACGTAATTAACTTTGTTATTCAAGGTCAAAACATTATAGTAAGTACCATCACTAAAAGGATGTGTATGTTCAATTTGTACACAAATTCAGAGTACAGCTCTAGTTATGAATGTTCTTCAAAAGTTGCAGTGATTGGGGCGCCTGAGTGGCTCAGCCGGTTAAGTGTCTGCCTTCAGCTCAGGTCATGATCCCAGGGTCCTGGGATCAAGTCCCGCATCGGGCTCCCTGCTCAGCGGGGAGTCTGCTTCTCCTTCTCTCTCTCCTTCTGCCCCTCTCCCTATTCATGCTCTCTCTCTCAAATAAACAAATAAAATCTTAAAAAAAAAAAAGTTGCAGTGATGATAAAGGCACCCTTTCAGTCTAGCCAAAAACCAGCTAGTCCGCACGTTTGTAAAGAGAGAACATCCTACCTTTGGAGCCAACATTTCCATCTGTACTGGTTTCACAGAAGCAGTAGGTTTCAGTTGTTTGCTGACATTTGTTTTGGTGGGTTGAACAGGTATTTTGGTGTTCTGAGCTTTCTACAAGGAAAAAGAAACATAAATAGGGCAAGATAGTGTTGCTTCTCAGAGTTATACACAATCAGCCTAGTGTGCACATGGACAGTCCTCATGGCTGTTACCTTAGCTACTTGTGTAGCTCTGGTTGTAACTCTATTTCCAATTTCTTCTAAAACTGCCCGTCTGATTGTCACATGACTCCTAGCTTTAGAATTAACTCCAGTGTCAGCATTCTCCAAATCAGTGGACACCTTAAAAAAAAAAAAAAAAAAGAGAGAGTTAATGATGAATTGAGACAACTTATAATACTTTGCTAATGTCAGATATCCAAACGCAGAATTTGGGAAAGGTAAATATGCGGAGATCTATTTGTGAGAGGGAAAAGATACATTTTTTTAGGAAGACTAAAAATGCTATTTGTGATTGATCACGTCACTTGAAATTAGGCAAATCACTTACCCACCTTATCTGTAAAATAAATAATCCCATTAAGAGGTTTCAAGATAAGTGATTATTTCTTATATAGCACCCAATTGTTAAAGATCCCTGTATACTAAATTAATCTATTTAAAAATCTTTCTTTAGAGTAGCTTGGTTAAGAGTCCTACTCTTGATTTCAGCTCAGGTCTTGCTCTCAGGGTTGTGAGATCCAGCCCCCCACCTCGGGCTCTGCACTAGGCATGAAGCCTGCTTAAGATTCTCTCTCTCCCTCTCCCTCTGCTCCTCCCCAACCACATGTGCAAGCTCTCACTATAATAAAAACTTTAGGAAGATTAATAACAAGTACAATTAAAACATTTAAAAAGCCGTAATAGGTCCAGATGTTTAAAACCTAAACTAGCTTTGATTCTCACGCCATTCTACAAATAAGAAGTGCTCCTATAGACATGATCTTCAGAGATACTGCCTTTTAAATGAGGTTGCCATAGCACGGATTCTCTTATATTAAAGATACTTAGAAAGGAAATTGTTTTCACAGGTAAAATAGTTTTACTCTCAAATTCAGAGAAAGGTGAAATGGTATGGAATAAAAAATCATTAGTTGACCTTAACCTACTTTTGACAGAATGTGCTTAGAAACAAAACTTGCTAGAAAAAGCAATTCATACAAAAAAGTTTATTTTATTGTAGAGGTGATAAACATTTCGTGAGAAAAAAAACAGAATGTACTATCCCTGAGAATTGTGAGTCCTAATCTTAAAAATCTCCCAACAGGGGGTTTGAATGGATCTACAAGGATAGACAGAGGGGGCAGGGGACAACTCAAGCCTTCCCTGAGTAGAAAGAATTTGACAATGAAAGAACTTTATGGGACAGATTAGACAAAAATTACTTGTCAGTTCAACTTAGATCCACAAAAGGATAGGAATTAAATACTGAATGTATTCAACTTATTAGGATTCTCAAAAGCACACTGTTCAAATCTTTCCAGCAGTAATTGCCAATTTTAAAAAGTGTTTGAAATTTTAATGCTTATGGGTCGAAGCCTGGTTATCTAAGTTTAAATCCATCTGGAGGGGAAAACTGGCGGCTTTTAACTAGGCTTATAGTCAGGAGGATGGAACTCAGGTGTGTCAGGGCCCTCCATTTTCCAGCAAAAGAAAAGTAGACCCAGATACAATTCAAGACCACAGAAAAAAAAACATTCAAAACACCATTAACACTCGCATTTTTGCAAAGATGAAACAAATGAATCTGGACCCTTTCCTCTGTTTGCATATGTACCAAATTATATGCAAAATCTTTATTAAACTTGATTAAAGAAATTAATTTTTTAAAGTGATAAACGCATAGGTTAGTGAACTTAACCTGGAAGACTTCGAGCGCAGAAATAAATAGGAAACTTCACACAAAATGAAATGTGAAAAATCCGAAAAACAGCCATGACTGTTGCCTGATCAAACACTCAAAACAGTTGACCACCTAGTTTCTTCCAGTCCTTCTCCCCATCCCCCATCCCTTAGCTGGCAAGGAGTTTGAGAACAGAGGACGGAAATTACAACCACCTCTATCTAGATAGCACTCCAACAAACAGCACTCGGGGATCGCTCACTGACTACCAAGTCCAGTGCTGGAGAGGCTCACTTGACAGGTGCCACCTTCGAGGCGCTTTCCTACACTCTCCTCACCCTTACATTTCCCTCACCCCTGGAACTGGCCAGGGCGGAAACGCGGAACCCAGAGCGGATCCGAGGAGGGGAGGTTGGCAAAGAGGACAGGCCGCAGGCTGGGGCGCAGGGGAAGCGGGCAGGAGGGGAGAGCGGCACCCGTTGGGACGAAGAAGCCCTGCGCAGGAGCGAGAGGGAGGCTAGAGGCGGGTGACCCGGCTGCGCGGCCGAAGAGCCTGGCGGGTGTGGGGGGTCGGCCGGGTCCACTCACCGTCGGGCGTCGGAGCAGCGCCATGTGGGAAGGGGCAGGCAAGAATGCCAGCCCGGCCCAGGAAGGGACGCGGACCGGAGAGGGAGGACACAAACTTCCGCGGCGCCGTTAGCTCCGCACTCCAGCCCGCACCGCTTAAAGACTTTCGCAATGTCGCCTTGTTGCAGGATTCAAATACCGCGCCGCTCGCGCCCCCATTGGGCGGCCTTACGTACGGCGCGCTCTTCCTATTGGCTAGGCAGGAGGCATTCCGGCAGGCGGATTGGCTGAATTTTCAAGACCCGTTTGGTTGTCATGACAACTGGATTTTTTTTCCGCCTACTGTCTTTTTTTTTTTCCTCCTTTATTTTTAAATCTCGGCCTCTAAGATCAACAAAAATGAAATGTCTCACCGAGGACTCAGACGTAGGATGCCTTCTCTGAATTTTGAGTAGGTCTCACCTAAGAATGTCTCTCTACGTTTGTACTAGCTGGGCGGAAGTTCGTTCTAGGAAACACCTTGGAAATGCCATTTCTGACCTTTATTCCTCTTCCGGAAACTTCGAGTTGGGAGTCTACGTTGGGTTGGCCAGAGTGGGGGAGTAGACGCCTCTGGGCGGTTCAGGGTCAGCACTGTTGCTGGTTGAGGTGGTTGAGACTCAAACGTGTGCTAAAGGAGTGGGAATTGTGGCATTTGCTCAAAAGCTAAGACTCCCAGAGAGAGGAAAATAGAAAGGTAAATGTGATTTGTGTGGTTCGTAATTCATGTAAGCTCTCCATTGTTATGACCGGCACCTAGCGCATTTTTCGGTATTATTGTCGGTATTCAATAAATATTCGTCGAATAAATCACCCTATGTGACGTGTAGAAGATTTTAAAATGAGAAAGAGGGTGTGATCCAGCCTTGGGCAGAAGGGTGGGAGACCGGAAAAGAGGCAAGGAAAAAGGGAGAGGAAAGGTCCAACGCCCACAGTAGAGGTAGTGGAATGACAACTGATAGCAGCCTCCGTCCAAGAATTTGAGCAAGGTTTCTGTTCTACCACTTTTGCCACTGTTACTGGGGTACTAATGAGGCTTGAATGAAGTTAAGTAATCTGAATTAAATTCTGCCTTTGCCCTTGCATCTTACGTTTCTAAACCTGTTTCCTCTTTTGTAAAACCCAAATAATTGCAGCCACTATGTGGCATGGAAAGATCTTAGTGTATCCATTGACTGATTACTGAAAATTAGGTATCCAGTGAAAAAGTCTGAGGAAGGAAAAATAGACGTTTAGTGCACCGAAGTTGTGAGTAAAATTATATTTTTACTTGTTATAATATTGTGATATCAAAAGCTAGAACTATGAAAGTAACAATCCTCACCCACTCATAGGGCTTTGTAAACAGGAATGTTGTAGAAGGCAAAGTGCTTTTATTAACTGACTTGACATTGTCAACATTGAATAATTTAATCCATATTAGACAGATTGTATTTTCATTAAAAATGGAAATAGTATTTTTGTATCCTTCACTGCAACTAACCTGGAACTTTACAAATAAACTTTTTGATTCAACCTTTTGCTTAATGCATTGTGGTCCATATATATTTCTTTTTCTTTTTTCTTTTCTTTCTCTTTTTTTTTTTTAAGCAATCTCTACACCCAGTGTGAGGCTTGAACTTGGGTCCTGGAGATCAAGAGTCACAAGCTCTACTGACTGAGCCAGCTAGGCCTCTTGGTTCTATTTCTGTTCCCTCCTGTCTCAGGTAACATTTATTGATCACACTTCCTATATACTAATTTACATAAACTTTCTTGTTGAATCCTCATAACAATCTTTATAAAGTAGGTAGTATTATCCCAAATGTTTTGTCATTTTTTATTGAGGTGTAATTGACATATAACATTAGTTTCAGGTATATACAACATTAGATATTTGTATATATTGCAAAATGATCACCACAATAAGTCTAGTTAACATCCATCATGTATTATCCCAATTTGACAGATGAAGAAACTAGGGTTCAGAACAGTTAAATGTCTTGGCTGCAATCATAGTGCTTCTGAGTTTCAAAGCTAGGATTTGTACTCTAGTTTGATTCCAAAACCTGTGCTCTTTCCACTATATTTACCATTGTCATTCTATTTACATTTGGCAGAAAGAGTGGGAAAACTTTGAAACAGTCATTGAAGGAAATCAAATATTAAATTAACCAAAAATAAATTTCTTAAAAGGCAATGGCCCTTTACAGTACGGTAAAATTCCACATGATTAATTCACTTTAATTTCTTGGTCAAGTACTGTTTTGAAAAGGTGTACATATGAACTCCAGTGGATATAGGGTGAAGTGAGATGTTTGCAGACAGAGGGAGCACCCCAAGCAAAAGCACGGACCACCAGTACTGAACTGGCATGGCTGGAAACAAGGTGAATGGTTTGGCTTGGCAGGAGGTACTGGGCTTCAAGGTAGCTGTTGCCTAGTGTCTTCCAACACCAGGAAAGGGAGTCAGAGACAGAGATTCTGAGATTCTCACACAAATGTTTAGTTCCCGGAATGCCAGATGGGAACTCTTCTTTCCTGACACCAAAATTCCCCAGTTTGGGGTAGGGACTTGCAGTCTTGGCTATCAGGACTGTTCTGTTGCTGTTTGTCAGACCCTCCTCACTTCCAATTTCTTATTCAGGTACATACTCACCTTTTCTCCTGGCCTTGGGATTCTTTTTCTCAGATTTCCAGGACCTTCCCCCATTGGGGATACTTCACAGATAGCCACTGTTGCAGAACTTAAGAACTTCAGGCAGGAAAAATTGCCTTAGGTCAGTTCGAGGCTGGAAACCTAACAGCCCTTCTAGAAGTCCCAAAGGCAGGCCACTAGGACCATCTGAAGGTTAACCCAGGGGCTACTTAATTTGAATAAATGCACTAGAATGTAAGCTCCATGAAGGCAGGGGTATTTGTTTTGTGCACTATTCTATCTCTAGTGCCTAGAATAAATAAGGTGCTTATTTATTGTTGAATTTTTATTAGGACTCATTTGGGTTACCTACTAGTATATAAGACAAGTCCAAAAGCTCAGCTCACGTTCATGGTTTCTGCATCCTTGAAGAATGCTTTTCCACTTCCATCTTTGGTGAGTTTCAGCTGCCATTATTCCGGACCATAGGGCATCAAGGGCCTGGTTTAATTTATATATATATCATCATCATCTATGTAATATATAATTTATATATCATCTGTGAATAATAGACAAATTATCATTTTTCACCAGATTTTTATCAGAACCCAGCAATCTTCCTAATATACTCCCATGTTCTCTCCCTCAGTTGCCCTTACCCCATTTCTCTTACCCACCCCCATCCATTTCTGCCTACCTCTTTCTGATTTCTTCTTTTCTCTCAACTAGCTAGAAGACAAAATATATTTGCTATATTAACATTAAAATGTCAGTTTGTGCGAGGCACTGCAGGGAACAGAGAAGAATAAAGTATGAACCACGCCCTCAAGTTCAAAACAATGAGGAGGAGACATATAGGAACAAAATTATTATAAAAGGGAGAACCAAAAAAGACTGAGCACAAAGGAGAAGACTAATTCCGGGTAGATGAAGGAAGCCTTACTAAAAAGGAAACATTTGAGCTGAGCTTTGAAAAAAGGGTTAGAATTTAGCAGGCTGGGATGGCAAAGGTGTTCAAGAAGTGGGAGCAATGGGAAAAAAATCTGTGGAAAAACCAGAAGTAGTCTCACACATTTGGATCATAGAAATGTTAAAGCTACAAAAGATCCAGAAAATGAGGAATCATGGAACATTTTTAAGAAGGATAATGACTTGGTCAAGCCTTGTTTTCAAAAGCTGACCCACTGGGCAGCATGAAGAATGGATTGTAGTGGATTGGAAAGCTAAAGGTTTCCCAGATGAGATGTAACAAAAATTTGACTTGGATGAGTGTGAAAAATGAAAAATGGAAGCAGGTATGAGAGGCAATTTTGGGGGAATGACAGAACCTTCACAAATAACTGAACATATTTTCCGTCATCACGGAAAATAATTGTAAAGTAACGAACATAAAAGTTCTGGGTGGTTACGTTAAAATTTTCTTTCAAAAGTTATGCAAACCAAGTTATAGATAAAAATAGTAATTTCCATTGCTAATTTCTTTGGGAGGGGGAAAGGTAGGTCAGTCATTTCTCTTACAAAAAAAAAGCCTTTTCCTCTGCCTTGCTTGTATCCATCTTGACATCTTTCACCTTAACCAATAGGTCAACATTATCTATCCCATGCAGGTAACCGGGTAACTTATTACTGGCTGAACAGGGTGCATGGGTATGTCCCAGTCTAGGGCCTGTAAACTTACTCAGAAGCAAGATAACCCAGAGAGGTAGAAACAAACACCTTTCTAGTGCCTCCATGGGCCTCCACCCAAAATGATTCTTTAAAATCTGGACCTCAAGCTTGTGAATTATCCAAGTTTGTTGTTGTTGTTTAAGATTTATTTATTTGAGAGAGGGAGAGAGTGCACCCAAACAGGGAAGGACCAAAGGGAGAGGAAGAGGAAGAGAATCTCAAGCAGACTCCCCACTGAGCATGGAGCCTGATGGGATGGGGGGGCGATCACATGACCCTGAGATCATGACCTGAGCTGAAACCAAGAGTCAGTCGCCCAACTGACTGAGCCAACCAGGCACACCCTTTGTTTTTAAATAAATTTAATGCCTTCTATAAGTAAGGCATTGCTACTTAGATGGGAAAAAAGGCATAAAAACTGGGTCCCTGCCCTCATGGTGTTCAAAATATAGAGATAAGGTACATGAAAGGATGAAAATATAATTAACTCATCCTTAGAAAATGAAAAGGTACAGGTTCTGTTGAGGATAATAAATCATTGACTCAAGAGTTATAAAATTATGCTGTTCAATTATTTATGCATTTCCTATTCTCTATTACAGCAGATAAATATTGTGAGGAACTCTAATTTTTGTATCATATTCTATCAGCTTTGGTAGAATACTGAGGAGCTGCAGAATGGAGTGTCCCAGTTGGACTATCAAGTTGACTTGTCAGTAACA